TGTTCAGGCTGAATTTGTCTCTTTCCTCTTTGTCTCATTTTGGTTAACAGTACCATTATGTACCTAGCACTCAAACCAGAAATCTTCTAGTCATTCCACACAGTTTTCCTTCCCACACACATATGACTAGTGAGTACTAGTCCCATTTACTCAATTTCTCCTAAGTTTCCATTGCTGTTATTCTGATGCAAACCATTATCATCTCGCATATAGATCAAGGCAACCATCTCCTGCCACCCTACCTCTCCTGTTACCCCATCCTTCTTTGTGCTTTAAGAATAGAAACCAGATATATTACTCTTCTATTGAAAGCCCTTCACTGATCCCCTTTAAGATAATGGGTGAAATCCAAATGTTGCATAGCTTAAACCATTCTCAATAATCCGACTATGACCTACCTTACCTGTAATCATGTTTGGAGCTATTATATTTGCTTCCTTTTTTAAGACTCAGACTGGACCTATTTTATTATTACTCCTTCCCTGGAGGTTCTCATTCTGCAGCTGGAAGAGAAAAATCTTTCTTCTCTCTTGATGGAGTTATCAGCATGTGGGACTCTAACTCCCTGTGTTCGTGTTCTTCACCCTGTAGAGAGATCCCGGCAGAGTGAAAAAGAACAAACGATACGATGCAAAACAAAGAAGAGATTAGAGACAAAGGTGGAGAAACAGAGCACTAACAGAAGTTGTGTCTCTGGATCCCGTTGCCCTGAAGATTACTGTTGACTTTCTGCAGTTCAGATTTCTCTTATATGTTTAAGTTCACTTGAGCTGTATTTCTCTTGCATCAGAGTAGTGATTTATATACATAATTGAAACTCATACATTCAATGTGTAGCCATAAAGTACCACATGAACACATTCCCATTATATGTCACTGTGTCTGATACAGCATTTCTCTTCATTTTTTAAGTGAATGAGCTTGAAGAATAATTCTTCAAGATTCTGTTTAAACATCAAATCTTACCAAGTTACTTCTTGATAACTTCAGATTAAGCTGACCATTATATTTTGAGAGCCTCTTCATACATACAGAATTTACCCTTTTATATTTATTCATATCCTTTATTAGGTGGTAAAATTTTGGAAAAAAGGGACCCTTCCTTCTTCATTTTTGTCATTGATCATAGTGTCTGAGGTAGAGAAAGTGCCAAATTAATATTTGTTAAATGATGGATGATTTTGCAATTTATGTTTACTATTTTAAATGGGAATTATTTTTGTGTTTGGGGATGTTTTATCAATTTGCTTTTGGACATACTTGTAGGAACCTTCATATTATCACTTTATTTATACACTATGGGAACAAAGAAAGGAACAAATGCTATTGCTTTCATTTTATACAAAGTATAAATAAGTCAATTTATAGTATTTTGTCAACATGTAAGTTAGAAAAATAAATGGGATTAAACCAAAAGGAAATCGCCCTTAGGACATAGGTTCCTAAGCATTGTGAAGTGAGACTGATATTAACAAGCAGCAATCCAGTGGAGACTAAGCCAAGTGTTGAGGTAAAGCTTTTAGAGTAGATACCCTTACAATTGGGCTTCCCTGGTGGCTCAGACCGTAAAGCGTCTGCCCGCAATGCGGGAGATCCGGGCTCGATCCCTGGGTTGGGAAGATCCCTGGAGAAGGAAATGGCAACCCACTCCAGTATCCTTGGCTGGAGAATCTCATGGATGGAGGAGCCTGGTAGGCTACAGTCCACAGGGTTGCAAAGAGTCAGTTCTTTGCATCAGGTGGCC